CCAGTTTGGGCCAGCAGGCAATTCAGCTCAAATACTAGCACCTATTATAAGAGTTTAGCTAAACTGAATCTCCAGAAATACAAAGTTTTGTACCAGGTTCTTAGCTGGCTCGACATTTTAAGGTGAGACCCAGACACTGAAGCACTTGATCTAGACATTTTGTTTCTAGTCTGTCTCCAACAAAAGATTAATCCACTAGAGTCTGTGTCATACGCTGACTCTTGAATCGAGAATACAGTTCCCTTCTGTAGAATTAAGTTCAACAGATCCAGTGGGGGATCTCATCTGTTCATTTAAGGAGCAGCAAGTTGCAGATTTAAAGAGTACAAAGAGCTGATAGTGCATTTGTAGACTTTCTGCTTGTTTTCATGAAATGAAATTTCAATGACAGGAAGCACTGAGATTGCCTCTTGCAAGCTAATTTTTAGGGAGCATCAAACAGAGCTATTTTGATAGAGAAATGTTATTTACCTGCTTACAATATGTTCTCATATTGTGGTGTGCTGTACTGATGATGTCAGCAGTTATTATTGGTAGAAATATTTGTCTATGCCATTTTTGCAGTAACATTTCATGTACAATTATGTTTGTATGTAATTACAGCTCTTTGACTACAACAATTAGTCTACGTCCCAGTCCCTGTTCTGACCCTTAGGAGAGAAGGAATAGCCTGGGGCTGCTGAGTCTTATGCTGGTGATTCCCAAGTATTTCATAGTGGAGGATTATTGTCACTGGTAGGAATTTTTAATACTGAAATATTGAAAGGCCCCAACTGAGATTCAGGCCTCGCTGTACATGTGTGATAAAAGACATGTCCACCCCAGAGTTTAAAGTAAACAGAAAATTCCAACAGGCTACAAAGCAAATCAGAGAGGAACATAGTCCATACCGATAAACTGATTAGTAGTTTAACTCTGAAGTCTCATACCCCCACTTGTATATGATAGTGGTCTCCCAGATATATGAGCTACCTCTTTCCCTTGTGCAAAGAAAGTCAAGAGGAAACCAGAAGCTGTTCTACATCCGTGCTCCATACGGATCACGGCTGCAAGCTAGCTTCCATCTCCTGGCCCAGGGCTGACCCACCGAGGAAAGGAAAGGATTCTGTCCCAGTGCTGGAAAGAAAGGGAGCACAGCTGGAAAGGAACACAGCTGGCATTCCCAGTGCCACATCAACTCAGAGCTTCTTTCCCTACCAGGAAACTTAGATAACAAATCAATGCCAGAATCCAGTCCTGTCTCACAGGCAGGGCTGGTACCTCTGCCTAGTAAGATTGCCCAACATTTAGCATTACCAGTAATTCAATGGGAAAGTAATAAGCAATGTTTTGAGAAAAACAACTGATTACTGGCCACAGAAGTCATATGCAATTGCAACTGCAAGTTACCTCAAGCAGGTAATCTCAGGAAGCAGGCTTAAAACAGACATTTAGAGGTAAATTGTGCCCTCCGTCACAATATTGTACCCCACTGATGTATGAAATTCAGGATTAAATCAGTAGGTGTTTGTGCATGTAACTGTGGGTAGAAATCAGCCCAAAAGCACATTTGAAAGTCAGAGACTTCCTGCCATGGTGTTAGGCAAGAAAGATGAGACTTCTGTGTTCAGGGTTGGGCACCTCATGTATACTTTAGCAAGAACTATGCTGTAGCAAGAGGATATCCTGTTTTAAATAATAAAGATAATGAGAGTTCAAGATTTTAGCCCCATCTGCTTTTCTTCTTTACCTTGAATAACAGTTATGATAGGAAACAGGATTCTGGGACCAATATTCTGATGTCTCGCAAAACAGATAGAAGAAGATGCAAGTGTCAAAACACTCTTAGCTGTGAAGTGATACACAACTTGGTCTGTCCTGTAAGCTAAATGTCTGAATCATTACTGTCTTCCAGTATTAACCTGTACCTATTGTAGGATGATTTGCTCTGACACAGCAGTTTTAGACACCCTGCATGGCTGCTTCAGTTGTGCAGCAGAATTAAGAAGAGAGAAGTGTAGTTATCAATTCTAATTTGTAAATCTTTGTAAGGATGCTCCAAATGAAGAGAATTTGAAAACACCATCACCAGACATCTGCATTCATTGCTTTTAACGAAAAGGTAGCTCATCAGAATTGTACCGTGAGGTATATTACACATTTATCTTCAAAAAAAAAAAAATGGCATCCTAGGTTAGTACGTCGTTAACATGGTTCAATTCTATATAAGGTGGTGCGGATTCTGTGTTCACAAACTCCAGATTTGTTTGATACCCCACCCCCTTTCTGTAGAAAATTTAAGCAGCTTTTTGCAACTGGCAGAAGCCAGCACAGTGCTGGTGCATACTGACATGACACTTCCTAGCTTAGCTCAGCAGTGCCTGATGCTTTACGCTGTTAGAATAAGCACAAATCACAGATAAGGATTAAAAGCAAACCTAATAATTAATATTAAAAGTGGTCCTGTCAGCACGAGTTGTTATTTATAAGAACATAGAATAACAGATGATAAAATCATGTAAAACTAGTAGATCTTGGACTACTGATCTTGAAATATATGGTTGCATTAGAGAAGAGCATTGAGGATTCTCTTGTCTGATAGTCTTGGACATAGTTATAGATAAGACTGGCAAGTGAAATTAAATATTTGAATCAATTTTATTAGTAGAAATTCTGTGAATAAAGATTATACTTTCAGTATCACTTCACAGTGGTGCTGCTGGGTTTCCTTTCATGCAACCTCTATGGGTAGAGCTATTTGGCACGTCACTCTTAAGACCAATCCTGACTGATAAAAATGTTTTGTCTTTTTTTTCCTCAGGCTCTTTCATTTCAGATGTGGAGCATCTCTGGGACTGTAGCAACACCTACCCCACCAGTTCCTTGAAAGAGCTTCCTGGTTTCTTTGCACATACCAAATACCACTAACTCTAGCACCCTTTCTGGAACGGAGTTTTCACAGGAGTTTAAAGTACTTTTAGGGAAACACAACTTGGTCTCTCCAATGCCTTAAATAGTTCTTCTCCAAAATTATATCTTACATAGAAAAAATAGTTCCTTGGGTTGTCCATCCTTGAAACAAACTTCTCCCTTGTCATCCTTCAAATGACAGACACGTCCTACATGTAAACTTCCTTTAAGATCCAGCAGAACTGATAGAAGAAGCCAGGAGGATCACAGTACCCCCTCCATCTCACAGGCACACCTAAGGACAAGGTCTCCTCTGCCATCAAACCCACAAGCTTTGGCTTTGTCTCCTCTCCCAGCAGGATAATCACCCAGCTTGTCCACACAGTAGCTTCAGGCCTGGGGGTAGGAATGCAGGCTGTATCCTGGCTGATAGGCCATTGCAAACACTTCTCCAAAAATAAATAAACCACTTTAATACCAATGATATAGCATTTCTGAAAATGAGCCCCCTCTACTACTGTTCTTTTTTTTCTCAGGAATGGTGCCACATCTAAATCCAATTGGCAGCAAGTTCAGCATTTTCGTTTGCAATCTGTCCAATCTTTTTTCCTCCCTTTCTCCCATTTTTACTCCAGACCAAGTTTTACATGCAAAGTAACTTGAAATTCCAGGCCATTCAAGTATTTTAAATTAAGGTTTGACTACCAAAATATTTGGATTTTATTTAAATCATGATTAAGTGTTGCTCAGGCTGTGGCTTTCAGATTTCAGAGCCATTGGAACAGAATGCTCTTTGTAAGATAACCTTAAGCTCAGCCTCATAGCAAAGTTCAGATCAGACCAGATGATATCTAAGAGAGCAATGAGTGGAGGACCTACATGAAAAAAAGAAAACACATTTTTGTCTGTTTCAATAGATAAACCAGTTCCACAAACTTCAGCTTGAAAACCAAAGAATAACAGTGACTGATCAGATATGACAAATACTTGAGAAAATGTAAAAAGATTAAGTTAATCTCATTACCACCCTTTCAGGAAAGTATCCCATCTGTCTTTCTGATTCCAATCTATTTTGAACAAGAAGTGGAGTAGTGTGATTTTAAACCAGAAACAACCCAGGAAAAAAAAGCTTCCCTACACTTAGCTTATGTAAACACTTTACCATATACTGATAAATAGTAAAATGTCTCAAATCTACAAGTAATGTTGTCAAATTGTTATTAATTTTTTTGAGGTTTTCAGTGATTATTTTGTTTTCAAAAAAAATCCTTGTCACAATGTTAATTACTGAGAATTTATTCACTAGTTCTAGTGATCTAGTAGAGCAGGAGTCAACGACTGAATTGCAGTTCAGCTAAGAAATGGGATAATCTTGGATTTATAAATGGGAAAAAGTTTAAAAGCTCAACCACTTCATAATCATCTTTCTGCTGTGGAACAATTCTGTTATCAAGGTCAGTTAATCTGCATTGGTGTAGCTGTGAAAGAATTCAGAGGCTTTGATTTCTAGAGAGCAATTGCTACTGAGCAACTATGGGGAATTCTTAACCAGATAACCTGCACAACAAGTATCTTATTTGCATGACAGTAGTCCAAGTGGCCTCAGTATATTTCTATCAAGGTCACTAAAACTGGCACTTTGCAAATAATTAGACGCTCTCAGCTGGGGTGGGGGTTGGGGGGTGGGGGTTGGGCTGGGGGGTGGACACACACACTAAGGGCACAGCAATATTCAGTCTTCAAAGAATGTTTTTTCTGGCACCTCCTTGATTTCTTTCCATTTCCCCTCTCTCCCCAAGAGGGCAACAAGCACATTTATTTGTGCTTTTGAAAATAATTTCCCTTCTTAGGCCCTGCTTTGTGCAGGCTGTATTATCAGCAGCTTCCATTTCTTCAGAACTGGGCAGTAAGAACAAGCTATAATTAAAGGCTCAAGGTATTTACCCTCTCTTCCCTGCCCTGAAGGAAGTGAGCTGTTGCCAGCAATTACAGTGAGCTGGCAGTTCCCTGGCATCACAATAACCAGAAACCAGTAAGTGCACTCGGGTCCCATCTACCTGTCCTAGAAAAACTCAGCTGACACTGAACAGTGACAAACACTTACCAACTCTCTCTGCCTTCTTTCTGGCCTCTGAACACCCTCTGAGGAATGGTCTTCAGTTCCAAAGACTACCCACTGGTTTAAGTCAAAATCTAAGAACAGTGGAAATTTTGCAATTCAGGTAACTCCTTATAAATAATTTCAAAATCTTTTAGTGAAAATATACAAAATGTATGCACAGGTATTGTAACCAGCAGTGAAAAGACAATGGGAACTAGAGCTTGTGTCTGCTGTTGCAGTTGATGAGTTACATAATTTCATATACTTTGCATATACTTAATAATTTTCTTTTTTTGGTGTGGAACAAACTACTTTCTGATGAAGTTTCTGTCATTGCAGTGACTGTTTTCATGGTTTACTTAGAGACTGTATAGAATGTGATCCAGTTGTGGCTGCTTTGCATATTTCGGTGACAGGTATAGATTCTCAGTATTGCAAATAAGTAACTTTGCATTACTTTTTATAGTAATGTCATTAACTTGTCTCATCCTGTGCTGCTAGTACAAAGTGTTTTGCTTTGACTTACATGGATGGTTGGCAGTCTCTTTTTTTTTTTTCCTGATGATAAACAATGGTCAGTACAAAATAGAATGAGCAAACCTAATGTATCATAAAATTGTATGAACTTTACAGATTAGTTTCATTTGTAAAATATTTTATAGGATTCCAGTCAGCCATTAAGCTATGATATCTCACACAGGCCATTTTCAAGCAATGAGTCAACCAGGTAACTGATTTAATTATTATTTTCTCTTCCTTCTCTTACTACCTGTGCGCATGTCTCTTGTTCTCCTTCCCCCTTCCTTCCACTCTGTCCAGTCCTAATCTTTCAGCATTTGTTTGATTTGAAAAACAATTCCTCAAGAACGTTGTTGCTTCCTCTGCAGCCTCTGTATTTGCTCCTTTGCTGCTGCTCTTCCATCTGGCCTGCCCCATCTTCACAGCAATCTCTCTTGGTTCACTGTCTGGAACATATTGCTCTCTAGCACTTGCACCCAGCAGAAGTCACTCAGCAAGTCATGGCTGAGTGCTGGCTACCTGAAAACATAAGGAAGACAGCCAGAAAAGGTCTCTAACAGTGAGTTGCACATAGTTCTGGGATATTAGCATGAACAGGAACTGGATTTTAAATACTTGCTTGTATCCCTCAGTTCTTGCACTTACTAGAAATACACAGATATGAAAAAAGTAAATAAGATTTAGTTGTTTTGAGGGCATCCTGTGTAGCCTAGGTATGGCTTCACAAGCCTAGGGAATCAGGATAGAATCCCTGACAGTTAATATACTCATTACCTCATGAAGGAGAAAACTATGGCACTGCAATCCATTCCTTTAGTTCACATCCAGAACAAGCCAGTGGAAAATACAGTTTCAAATCCTGACCACCAGCCGTAAAGTTGATCCAGCCAGGATGCGCTGCAGCCTGGAACAGTCAGTTTCCACAGGCAGTAGCAGGGAATTCATGAGCTGCTGTGTCCTCTCATTAATCTAACAAAGCCACTGGAAGTTTTTGGCTAATTTTATATAATGGAAAAAATTCTCTCATAACTACACAAAGGTAGTCTGTCATATGCAGAGGTCTTGCTGCCACAGTGGTCGCTTCAAGCTTGACAAAGCAGGTAAGTCCCTGCTTCCTCTTCCCTTTTCCAGGTCACAGAAGCTTTGCAGGAGTTGTCTCACCTTCCAAATCTGCTTCCATGGTCTCTCTGCTCTCTACTCAGTACACATGGCACAGACCAATGTGAATAACAGCTCACTTCTATGTATCAGCTGGATTTATCCACAAAGTCTAGCTGCATTTGACTACTGGCAGTCTCAGCACGGAGCCAGGTCGCCGGCAGTTACTGAGCGACACGTATCACACAGCCTCATGATCCTGAGCTGCACGGTCTGGTGAGATCCCAGAACAGCTGCCTGTGTGAGCAGGTACTTAAAGAAACCTGCTGGAAAGGTAGGAAATTGCCTACTTGGAAAAGAAGGTATTCACTCATAGCTTCCCCAGGTTCAGCTGCCCTCAGAGAAAACTACTTGTTTAGAGGGTGCCTAGAAGTACAGATGGGTTTTGGCTCCAACTTGATACTGCTCGTTCTTCCCAGCCAGCTTGAGAATTCTCATTTTACAAAATAATTATTCCAAGATTTGTTGGCCTCAAAAGGGAACTAGGAGTAATATGGACTAAAAACCCCATCTGCCCTCCCGCCCTCCCCCTGACCACGTTATGGCGTCACCTGACTCCCTGACAGCAAAACATGAGATTGCATCATGCCTCAGACTGGAGGTGGAAAAACATTTACTTGCTTTGTCTCTTCTATTACTTCTCTTCATCCCATCCTTGCTCATTTAATAAATATAGCTGATGAAGTATCATAAAAGAAAACCTGATTTTTCCTATAGGCAAATTCTTTGATTCCTTGAACTGAATTTCAGGTAAATTTAGTGGCAACAGCTTGAACCTGTTATCCTTGTATCTGTGTTTCCTGTGAAACGTGCATACATCAGTGATAATTTTTCCTTGGTGTTTGCCATGAATCTTACATGAGAGAAGATGAGGCTAAGGGCATTTGCTTCCATAATGATAGGTTATATTCTCAAATTGCATAACAATTCTATTTTTAGATACAAATCATAATTGTTTCCAGAATCCCTGAGGCCTGTACTTCCACTGAAAATGTGTCTCATACAAAACCTTCTCCTTTTCTTGCAGAAAAGGACACTGAGAACTAGGCAGAAAAAAAATGCTTACAAAAACACCATAATCAAAATCTTCCCCAGAGAAGGTAATAATAATTAAAAAAAAAAAAAATTCCCACTAATAGTAATGGGGAATCTCAGCAATTCTATATTGCATTTCACTGGCAGTGAGGTAATTCACATAAATTTTAATACATGAATATTAACACTGACTTAAAAAACCCCAATTTTAGGCTAGACAATTTCAACTCATAAAGCTGTAGCTTCGAATAGGCTTTTATCAATCTTTGCCATTACTAAATTTAGCTTCTTACCAGCAACTTTGAGAAACAGACTTTCCTCACCTGCAAACTTCTTTTCATGTATAAACAACAACTTTTTCTGTGCAGTAACTACACAAACTGGCACGTCCACTGCTATGCCCCCCAAGAGCAGGCTCTGCCGCGTGTGGCTGGTACTCACCCTCCCCCTCTGTCTTCTCCTGCCAGAGCCCCCGTTCGCAGCTGGAGCGCAAGCACAGCGAGGGGGATCTGATGCCACATTCTGCCTTCCCGAGTCTGATTCTGCACTTCAGGCGGGTGGGACTGTGGAAGTGGGGATAGGACCACAGAGCAAAATTGATACTTGGCTGCAAAGCGAGTGAATTTGGGTTAATCTACCCCAGATTACTTCAGGAGGTTTTGGAAACCTGCTTCTGCTTTGACCTTTTTCTCAGACAAAATCTTCATCCCTACTTGTGCTATATTTAGTGTCACTTCCCCTCTCATTGTTATATGTAATAAACCATTTATTCTCCAGAGAATCCAAGAGAACATTTTAGGAGAAAAAAAAAAAAAAATCTACAACTGTACATCAAAACCAAAATAAGAACCACACAACATAACATTTTGGAGAGGTTGGTGGCATAGCACTGACATCTTTAGTGCTTCCTTGTGCAGAACATAATAATGTATCAAATGCATCTGGTTTATTTTATTCTACATAATCAACTCTCACTATTCATTATTTTAAAATACGTTAGAGGCTGTTAAAGCTTGTCATGTCTGGTCAAATATGCATTTTAATTTTTATATCTTTGAAGCTATACCTCACTGTCATTAAATAGCTTGAGCAGTATATGTAAAAATGAACTGCTTGCTACATACCTCAGCTAATTGGAGTCCTGTGTGAAATGTCATCTACAGCAACAGCTCCAATGTTGCTCAGACAAGAGCACTGTGAACAAATCTGAGCGCTTCTTTTAATACCTGGCTGCATGAAAGTAGAGTTTAACGTTACTGGCTATTTTTAAGGATCAGAGGTTGCACCTCAACAACTATTTAATTATGTCTCTATTATAAGAGCAACTTTACTTGTCAGTGTGTAATCAGGCCACATGGGTTTCTCACGTGCAAAAAGCAGCATCTAGGAACGCGCACAGGATCAGGGCCGGCCAAGCAGTGCTGCTTTGAAGACACAAGGGAGTGACTTTTCCTGTTGTTTTTGACACCACAGTGCAGATAAATAGAAAAATAATCTATCTCGCTGTGTGTTCTTTTATTTAAAAACTGAGTGTTAATTTTCTAAGGATTTTTCCCATTGCTTTCTTGCCTTGCTTGAAGTATCATTGGCCAAGTTTTTCACTGGAAGAAAACAAACAGTTTATTAGTAGATTGCTATTGGCTAGGAAACAATATGCTCTTCTAGGAAACAGCTTCTGATTTGCTGTCTATTGATACAGTAAGAGTTACATTTCATGAAGCTGAAAACAAAAAATGTATACCTAGCAGTGAGATTAGGCATAAAGCTTTAGAGAAGACTGTCACAGTGACCCCTCATATACTGTTACTGCCACAGAGAGGTCCAACTTCATTCAAATTAAAACTATATTGAAATCCCAATTGAATTTGCTGCCCGATCCCTACTAAGCAGTATTATTATTACTTCTGATAAACTAGCAAACTACCCTACATCACTCCACCCCTCCTGCAATTGCATTGACTCACACTCTTACTGCTGTGGCAGCCTTGGGGGAAAAAAAAAAATCCCTTTGGAAATTCCAATTATTAATTGACAGTTATTACTAAACAACCTGCTATGCTTCCTGTGCATTTGGTAATCCTATTTTACGGTGATACTTGCATCACTTGACTAACACTTCTCTGAGCCTGACTACCTTGGATCACACCAGAGCAATCTCAAGATTTATTTAGCCTAAGAAATGCTAGTAGAAATGCTGTTTATCCAGCTGGAGTGCTACAGACTCTCATCCAATTAAAAACAACCACATCCCAACTGTGTGTGATGCTTTTACAAGGTTTTGACTAATTCTAGTTTGTTGCGCTCAATAAAGTTGTCTGCAAATAATTTTTGCATTCTGTGATGTACACATATTTTTATATATACACAAGATTAGGCATAGGCAGGACCTTTTCTCACACAAAAACATTAAACTTTTAAAATAAACAGTGGAAACATACAAAGCAAACATGCATACAGGCCGCATACTTCCTTGCAAAGACAATTTTCTGGAAGAAAATTTACTGATGCTTGTAGAGACATGACAAGAATAACAATCACCAAGGAGGCTTGGGACACAGAAAACATGAATAGTAAAAGTGAGACTTTGGTTTATGGCTAAACATATGTCTGGCTCTTTTTGTCTGGCTCAACATAAGAGCTTGAATGGCAAGCAATGCCTAAAAAAGAAGAGTAGAATTAAAACCAGAACTGCTCTGTGGTCTTATTTCTTCAAGAAAAAAGAAAGCTCCTTGTAAATAAACAAGACTGATTCGAAGACATCGGAAAGCCAAATTCTTTTTATAAATGAAACAAGATTCTAAGAGTCATTTATAAAATCTTACTTGTGTAGATTTATTCACTCATTTGTTTTAAGTGTACATAACAAAGCACAGCTCAGGGCACAGGTATTTTTACTATGTGGATAAATTAATTAACTGGATAAATTAAGCTCATACCTATGTCCTAATTTACAGTAGACATCAAGAATTAGCAATGGCTCTCTTCATGGAATCATTTTTGCTTCTGCATTTAGAATACAAGAGTTGACCAAGAAATGTCAAATCACATAATTATGGCACTTCTCAGTGACTCAGCTCTGAGCTACTAACGAAACTCTCTAAGAAATCTAGGGCTAGGCTCAGCTCTGAGCTACTAACTCTCTAAGAAATCTAGGGCTAGGCTCTTCTAAATTTTACTTTAACAGCTTTTAACTTGAGCGTGCTTCTTAAAAGTTTTTTAGCAAAGCAGGAGTTCATCAGATTGCATTATCAACATTAAAAAATGTTAGTGAAAAAAAGGTTTATGTTGTTCTTATCCATTACAGAAAATAAAAAAAGTAGCCAGGTATACTTATTGTCACAACTAACTTTCTCAGCAATGTTTTTGGCCACTTTGATGGTAAACATGACATGAGTTTCATTTAAAAGTTTCAAGTCCTGTAAGAATCAATGATTCTCCAGAAGCAGCTTTTGGGGGAAAAAAGAAAAAAAAAAGAAAAGAAAAAAGAAAAAGTACTCAGTAAACTCTGAAGAGACTGAAGGGAAACATGTGAGATAAAAAATTACTAATGAGATAAAGATGAGTAAGTGCCAAATTTAATGTAACTCCCTTTCAACACAGCAAACAACTACAGATTTGGCTGCAATGAAGAGGTGGAACAAAGGACTTCTGGATCTCCAGCGAAAGACAGAAGGCATCTCAACCATCCCCATAGCTCACACATCTCAGCACTTGGCACAGAACAGGTATTCACTCACATAAAGTCCATCTCCCTGGTCCTACCTATCTACCCATTGTGCTACACAGAAAAGAAGCAGACCTGCAATGTCAAGCCACAGACCCTAGTGCATCCATCCCCAACACTTCTTACTATTTTCCTTGTGGCAGCATACCAACATTTTCTTTCAGTCAAGGAAGTCCTTAGAGCTCCTCTGCTATTGGGTAAAATGACCAAGATAAATATTAAGTGAAGAAAATTAGCTTTATTTATGTAAATTAGAAAAATGAATTGTTAGAACTTTGGTCAAATGGTTACTTCTGTACAATTTACAATTATATTTATATACAAAACTTATAATAAAATACAGTACATCATACTTTTCCTGAGTCACAGTGTGTTTCTCAGTTCTGTAAATCTTTTTTTTTTTCTTCTTTTACAGTAATTAGATTCAAGAAGGAAATACTATCCTCAGTTTGATAGTGTTTGGTTTAGATAATACTGGTATTAACAAAGAATTCAATACACTATATGTAGAAAATACTTTATAGCCATTGCAATTTTGGTAGTTATTTTTCTATATTAAAATATGTTCCTTGATAAAAATGTTAATTAAATACTCCTTATGACAAGTTTGTTGCACTTTAACACAAGACAAGCTGACTTCAGATATGTCTATCCCTCACTGCAGATACACATACATTTAGGCGAGTTACATGTATACATAACTGATCATTTAAAGATCAGGAAACATACATCCAGATAGAGCAGATGTCTGAATCGAGGCACAGTATATTAAAATTGCTGTCCTATCCTGGACAAGATGTGTAAGCGTCAATTACCTGCCTAGCCTAATACAAACCTAACACGGGTATACATCCTGAGAAGTGAGACTGTGTCAAGCAGCAAGGCACCAAGCCTGCAAATACTTACATATGCCTAATAGTCCCACTGTGTAAAGCACTATGGAGTTCTCAGTGACGAAGCGCTGTAGAGCTGTATTTAACAACATTTGTTAAATCTTGACCAGCTCAAGAAGTTATTAGGATTAAAGCTATCAATATTGCCTTTATTGAGTTTTATATTTTGCGATCAACAATAATCTACTGTCAGGCTTACAAGGATATTTAATTTGTTTACTTAACAATGCAGTGTGTTAAATTAGTAATTAGGATAGATTACAACCTACCAGTAAATTTATGTCCTAGTTAAATCCCCAAACCAATCAGGGTAACTTATTTTTGACAAAGACGGATTTAAAACAAAATTTACTTAATGGCTAAGTGTGGGCTGCTCCTAAATCTATCTATGGTAAAGTATGCTAGACTTTTTTAATATAGGCATGTGCATTTCTGGAATTTTAGTCCAAAATAATTGAAAAATACAGATTAGATGACCTCTGATAGATTTATTTATAGTGTTCAGAGAAATAACTAACAGGAAGTCATCTAGAGATTTGCTTTCTCTTAAAAACCTTCTGTAATACTTCAGTGCAAACTGAAATATATGAGACCAACTCATAATGATCTTACTCCGATTAGAAATAAAAAGGGACATTTTTTGCTGTTGATATCAAAGTGCGTAAAATGACAATATGAGACTTCAAAGAAAATGGGTCTTTAGCTGAATGCTTGAGCTCTTCCCAGGATTCTTTGCATGTCTAGAAGTCTTCACTTTAATGCTTTCTTGATTGCCTTTTACAGCTGACTCAAGCCTGGCTTTCATAGTTGCAGAGGAAGCCATTAGCTTTTTAAAAACTGATGAGTACTGTGGGCCAATCTGCATCAGATTTTGCAAAGCAAACTCATGTAAATTTTTTGCTGAGTTTGTAGCAGAAACCAGGGCATTTTCATCCAAAAGGAAGGAAATCAGGATGGGAAGAAGGCAGGCCACCAAATGAGCACCTATGAACATTGAAAACACAACTTAAACATATACTATTAAAAACCAGCTTCAACTTCAAAGTACAAGTATTTCTCTAAGTTAATATTTAACACAAACTATAAAGCTGAAAATGTTATTTGAACTGTATGGTAAAAAGAACCAACATTCTCAGTTAGTGTTCAGGACTGGATTCCTAGTGGTCATTTTGTTTTAATTTGGTACTTATGGCCACTTTCAGCATGTCTAATGCTTTGGATGTTAGTAATGGAAGTAACTTACGGTGCTCTTCCTCAGCAGTGGCTGTAAGAGCTGTAACCACCTTTATTCCCTCTTGAATGACCTGAAGTTCAGCAGCATTTTCAGGTTTTGCTTTTTCTGTTTCCTGCAGTTTTCCGACAATGGATGGTGCTAAAGAATGAATATAAGGATATGACACAGTTTTGTTTGGATGCTGAAAGATGGAGTGCAGCAGGTGGTAGCACTTACACTGTACCTAAAGGGAAAATCAAATTTGCAGTTACAAAGTGTTATACCGAAGAATACATGTCAGGGTGTTTTAAAACTCACAGCTGGTCAGACAAAAGTTTAGGGAGGGGGAAAAGTGTGCCTCACAGCTTGAAAATTCATCAGGTTGGAGGATGCTAATGGATAATACTTAATAGCAGTGTCATAACTTGTGATCAAATTATTAAGAGAAACTAGATCATGCTTCCTGTTTCTTTCCACCTAGTCCTACATTTTCCTACATTTTTGAGTTAAGGAAAAAATGTTCTTTTTGTTTGAAGATTAAGTTTTAGCACTGTTTTGAAAACATAATCTTTTTTACAAAAATACAGTTGACTGAAAATAGGTGCCTAACATGTAAACAGTACCTCTGTCAAACTCTAGGCACAATTTTAAGAAGCCCCAAATGGTTCAGTAGCTTGCATGTCACTGGAAGTCAATAGGACTGACTAGTTCCTACATAAGGAAAGGCTCAGATGACTAAACACTTGGATAAAATTTGTAAATGCATACTACCATTCTCTTGCAGTCGTATTTGGCATCCCCAGTTTCCTACAGTGAAAACCAGTATTTATAATCCTAGAAATGTATTGATATACAAAAAAGTACTTTCTTACAGCTATTTGTCAAGTAAAGGTCATTTTATTTAATCTTTTGTTACTCCATTAATATAGACAAAGAAGATGCAAGAAAACCAGTTTAGAGTGAATTCTCACAGTCATGAAATCTAATGCATGTTATTGTAAGAGCTGCACTTTCAGAGTGAGGAAGTCCCAACTCTTAGAAAAGCCATTTGTATTTGCAATGATAATAAATATTTTTTTTTCCTGATACATTGTTTTTTGGATGAAGAAGAATAACAGATGAGCTGTGGCACTACAGTCTAAAGCAACTACATAAAAAAATATTTAAAGTAGGTTGGAACAAAGCATTCATCTCATTCAATATGCTGCCTCCAGCAGTGGCCAGGAGCTGATGATTATGGGACAGTAAAAGTTATGTAGTGGTACTTGCTCCAGCTTCCAAAGACCCACAGCTGAGGGGTTTATTGTGAAAAAGAGGATCTGTGTGTTGAAGATTAAATGAACAAATAAAATGAAACACATGCCTGAAAATCCAGACAACTGTATCATGTACTTATCAATGTATAAAACTCTGAGTCTGATGCAGTAAAAAAGCAGCCAAACAACACAGGAATATAGAACTGTATACAGAATAAAAAAAAAATAAAGATAAAATGCACTGCTGGACATGTTCTTGCTAACTTATTCAAACTCTATTTCATTTTTAATTATCCTGACAGATATACTTAGGACAGAATTAACTGGAATCAACACACAGGACAAGTGAAACAACTGAACAGTAAATAAGATAAAATCCATTTAATATGATACTGACATTCTTATGACTTCACCAGTACTTACAAGAGGATCTTTTGAGTCAAGTGTTATTTTAAACTTCTCAATACAACGCTTCTGAAGGCACTCTATGGTAGTAACTTCTGGACTGGTAGACATAACAAATATCGTAACAGCAGTAAGCAGGCTAACTTCATCAAGTTCTTGGAGACACCCATCTACTATCAATAAAGTAAGCAGGCTGTTAGATTTGCATTAAAAAGTAATTATAAAAATTTGAGTGTTACAAAGAGGTGGAATACAAGTATCAATGTTTATGTTTCTCTAGGAATATCTTTTTTCAAATACATTACATACTCTGATGCACCGATATGGACTTTTTCTGTAATAAAAGCCAAGGCCAAAATGGGAATTCAGTGTTGGTTATATGCATATCTAGAAATAACAGCATACTATTTTTCCACTGTTCCTCTGGATAAAGTGCAATAAGTATCTTTGAAGAGTTGGCATGACACATTAGGGTACAACCTATTTTGAGAACAATATAAAACCTGCATTAAGAACGTATATTCTTTGGCTACAACTTAAAAAAACATCACTATAAGCAAAAGTTCCAACAACATATTATGACTTAGAGATTAAACCTAAGGAATGATAAAAACACTACAAACTTGGAAAGTTGAAGAAGCATCACACAGAAAATTAACTTTAAGACAAAAATATTTTTTATCCAACTACAGTTTTAATACCCTTTGCTTCAATACAGACACTAATTCTTTGTGGAGAACCTGCATGCAGTACATCTGTCTTTTATGCTCAATTGTACACTAAAGTCACAGCCTTTGTTTATTCCATTGTACCATGTGAGTGCATTGTGGCACTACATAATACAGAGGTAAGCCTGAAATCCCACATTTATACCTTTACAGGTGATGACTTCTCATGTGAGCTGTAGGGACAAGACTGCACTATAGTTTCAACAGTACTTGGCAGCCAACTAATTCTTCTGTGACTAAGATATTAGTCTTTTTTTAAGGCACGCACAAATTTAATTTAAATAAAACCAAGCAACCTTTCGCCCACACATTTTTTGGCTTGTTTTTCTAACACACAAACCCAAAATTCGTGCTTACCTTGATCCCAACAGTCAAGCACTGTGACCAAAGCACTACGCAGAAGATCAGTCCAAGCAGTCCGACTCTTCTCTGCTCGAGCCATCGGAGAAGACAGGAGTCCTTTAAGAGCTTGCAGGGATGCAGCAGCTGTCAAAGTTAACTGGCCATCTTGCAATTTCACAGCAGTTTCTTTAAGTACCCCAATAATTAGGTACAAGATAGTAGGAAGAACTGAAACACTTCCTGTAAAACAAAGCAAATTAATTTCACAGAAG